AGAGAGAGAGAGGGAAAGAGGGGGGAGAGGCAGGCAGAAAAAGAGGGGAGAGAGACTTAGAACATCTAGAGAGGGTGACTGCTCGATCCGATTGAAATTATGACATTGTTCTTTCCTTCAAATTGTGATTCCTCCAACTCCAAAATCGAAAAGACGTCCCCAATCTTCATTTAGATCTAGATTTAGATTTAGTTCTCTAGGCCTCGAAACTAGATCAAAGATATTATTTATATATATATCTGTCTGTGTAGATCTTGACCTAGCCTAGGCCATCTCTATAGAAGAACCTAGGTCGACCCTGAGTCAAGAGGGCGTTGAAACTTTTAGAAATCACAAAAGATTCCTCAACAGGGTCTGTGTACTTCGTGACTTTGTTCCTGGTTATCAGGGGTCTGTATACACTCCCTTTATTTTACTCATATGGCCTAGACAGATTTTCTATGTCATGCTTCTATGCAGGGGTTAAAGTTTTCAGATGCCAGAATTCCGGCTTTTGAAAATAAGCTTTCCAATGTTTCCAGTTTGGGACAAATTGTCGACTTAAAAATTTTTTAGGAAGTAGTCATTCTCCCAATCAACAGTTTTTTGGCTCTTTGCATTTGGTTACGTTGCTTGTCTGTCTCAGCTATTGGCGAAAATGAGCGTTTCACACCCAGAAATAACCCAATTAGATCTATGTCACTGTAAACACTTCGACCTCTGTGTTACTGATCTGGCAAGACCGCTCTGTGATTTGCCCAGGTTTAGAGCTGTACTTTACAAATTGTGGCTGGCTTTGACGTCTTTGGCTCATGTATGTGGGTTGTTTGGACAAGCAAGCACGTCGCGGTCAAACTTTAAAGATTGCGATTTAGTTTTTAAAAAGAAGAAGGAAATTCTTTCTTTCATTAAATGTAAAAAAGACACACATAGAATAATAGATGTAGGGAACAGAATTTGAGGTCCACAATGTTGTCTTGGAGGCCTATAATCAGTATTATATTATGGAGTGTCTACATACACGGTATGTCTTAAATACATTTGTACATTGTCATGTACCTCTCCAGATAGAGTCAAATCAAAATCCAAAAACTCTGCCATAATTTTTTAAAATTATAATTATTATATTGTCTAGATATATTTACTTAATATAATTGACGCTTTCTAGGCGTGCCCTACCAATTTTCAATATGGGTAATATTTTTAACACTGAGAGGTTCAAAATCACATAATAATATAAATAATCGCAAATTGAGGTGCTTTTAAAAAATACAATGTCTATATCTAGATCTAGATCTCTCTACTTTTTGAGAAATCTCGCCTCAACCAGATTTACGGTCCAGGAACTTGGAACCTCCCACAAACGAATGTTCTCGATACTGACACATCTAAATAAAAAGTTTATGTATTGGAAAGAAAGTTGCACTAAAAAGCAATCCAACCACTATATACCTCTGAAAAAAAAAGCACTAGATCTATGTACTGAACCAAGAAACTTTCTTATCTCCTACTTGGCCTCATGTAACAGTGTAACATTTCCTAAAGCTAACCTTTACCCCTTCGACGATAATGGAGTACGGAATCACGTCTCAAATCACGGACTGCTTTAGGCTAACAGGAAACGAAACGAGCTATTTTTCACAACATGTGTTGATACTCGACGACCGATTCTTGCAAGCGTGGACAGCGACTGTCAAAGATTTGACGATTGCTGTTATGGATTAACACTAGATCTAGGTCTAGGCTACGAGACAAGAATCAATACCAAAAAGCGTGATGAAGTTTGCTTATCAGGTTAGACTTGTTACTCTGAATTCTTAGGCTAAAGCTGGTATCAGCTGGATCTGCTTTTATTGATGTTATCTGTTGTTACGAGTGTTATGACATCATGTCTTGAATTGTGGCACTTTTATTATTGTGATGATGAGATATCAATGAGGCATGGATCATGATGATGCAGTGTCACTGAGAGTTGACGAGTTGATCATCATACAATCCTACACATCATTTAATATTGATGGTCAACTCAATGTATCACTTACCCCAGGAGGGAATGAGAGAAAGGGAGGACTTCTGACTGTGTAAAAAAAAAAACCGAGCGACCACTAGATCTAGATCTAGATCTAGATCTAGATCTAGATTCTAGATCTAGATCTAGATTCTAGATCTAGATCTAGATCTAGATCTAGATCTAGAATCTAGATCTATGTCACTATGAGACAGAGCAGAATTGAGGGCTAGATCTAGGGCTAGGGGTAGGTTTAGGGTTCAGGCCTCTTCTTTATATTGAATATTGTGTTTGATGGAGTAGTCGCTCGTTACGGAAGTACTTCCGAGAGAAAAATAGTGTGGGAAATAGGTGGGGAGAAAGAAAGACAGCCAAACAAAAGAGAAAGAGAAGGCGAGCGATACACAGAGGAGAGAGAGAGAGAGAGAGGGGGGGGGAAGAGGCAGGCAACAGAGGAGAGAGAGAGATAGAGAGAGAGAGAGAAAGAGGGGGGAGAGGCAGGCAGAAAAAGAGGGGAGAGAGACTTAGAACATCTAGAGAGGGTGACTGCTCGATCCGATTGAAATTATGACATTGTTCTTTCCTTCAAATTGTGATTCCTCCAACTCCAAAATCGAAAAGACGTCCCCAATCTTCATTTAGATCTAGATTTAGATTTAGTTCTCTAGGCCTCGAAACTAGATCAAAGATATTATTTATATATATATCTGTCTGTGTAGATCTTGACCTAGCCTAGGCCATCTCTATAGAAGAACCTAGGTCGACCCTGAGTCAAGAGGGCGTTGAAACTTTTAGAAATCACAAAAGATTCCTCAACAGGGTCTGTGTACTTCGTGACTTTGTTCCTGGTTATCAGGGGTCTGTATACACTCCCTTTATTTTACTCATATGGCCTAGACAGATTTTCTATGTCATGCTTCTATGCAGGGGTTAAAGTTTTCAGATGCCAGAATTCCGGCTTTTGAAAATAAGCTTTCCAATGTTTCCAGTTTGGGACAAATTGTCGACTTAAAAATTTTTTAGGAAGTAGTCATTCTCCCAATCAACAGTTTTTTGGCTCTTTGCATTTGGTTACGTTGCTTGTCTGTCTCAGCTATTGGCGAAAATGAGCGTTTCACACCCAGAAATAACCCAATTAGATCTATGTCACTGTAAACACTTCGACCTCTGTGTTACTGATCTGGCAAGACCGCTCTGTGATTTGCCCAGGTTTAGAGCTGTACTTTACAAATTGTGGCTGGCTTTGACGTCTTTGGCTCATGTATGTGGGTTGTTTGGACAAGCAAGCACGTCGCGGTCAAACTTTAAAGATTGCGATTTAGTTTTTAAAAAGAAGAAGGAAATTCTTTCTTTCATTAAATGTAAAAAAGACACACATAGAATAATAGATGTAGGGAACAGAATTTGAGGTCCACAATGTTGTCTTGGAGGCCTATAATCAGTATTATATTATGGAGTGTCTACATACACGGTAACCGGGCACCTAGCCTCAGTGTCTACGTACACGGTAACCGGCAACCGGTCACATAGGCCTAGTCTCAGTGTCATGTACATGGTAACCGGGCATGTAGCCTCAATATCTACGTACACGGTAACTGGCAACCGGGCACGTAGTCTCAGTGTCACGTAACCGGTAACCGGTGTAGCCATCCCCACCCCTCCCCCGACAGGTCACGATGGCGAGCTTGACAAGACGCTTGTATGACAGCGTTTTTTCGGTAGTTCCCACCCCGCAATTGTTATTTGCCGGTTTTGACCCCAAGAGTAGGGGGGTTTCAGGGGGGCATGCCCCCTTGAATTTTACCACAATTTGATGTTTTGCAGTTGTTAGGTTTGATATCTTAGCTTGCTGCGAATCAAACATATAGATCTAGATCTAGATCTAGGTCAGGCTCAAATAAGGGGGTTGGGAACTACCGAAAAAGCGCCTGTATGACTTTCTATTTTTCAGCAAGTGGCAGCACAGGACAAAATATATTGATTTATTTTCATTCCGGTTACCGTGTACGTAGATACTGAGGCTAGGGGCCCGGTTACTGTGTACGCAGACACTCCGATTATATTATTCTGTGTATAAAGAAACACACACAAAGACTTGACAATTCGTACTTACCGAGGGAAAAAATTGACGACATCGAGCTTAGATCTAAGTACATGCAGGACTATAGAGGAACGCAAATTTCGTTTTAGAGAGAAGAGAGAGAGAGAGAGAGAGAGAGAGAGAGAGAGAGAGAGAGAGAGAGAGAGAGAGAGAGAGAGAGAGAGAGAGACTATTAGATGAACTCTCAATAGGCCCAAGCCGAGGGCAGTGTGGTGTAGCCTAGGTGTAGACCAAGGACGTGTTTGTTTCATATCACAGGAATGTTCAAGGGTGGACCTAAATCTACTGCTCGCTTTAGTTGCGGTGAAGTCTAGTTGTTAGGGTACCGGACCCGTAATCTCAGAATTCTCCGATGATGGCCTGTTTAACTGTTTCAGTGGCGGCATACAAATGATCAATATTATTCATAGTCCTGCTGTTACTTTTAAAACAAGCTTTGTCCGACTCCAAGTTCTGTTTAGTCGGGCCCGTCATCAAGACCCGCGAGTAAAACTTTCAATCGTGCATTCGCATCACATGAAATGACTTCGGCGTGCTAGTTCCGCGTGTGTCGGGGACCTCCTTTGATGGGGTCAACTTAGGTTCATGCACACGGGTTGGCAGATTTAGTTTAGACATGCGAGCGGAGAGTCTGCTTGTGAAGGCAGGTATAGCCGGTACAGCCCAATTGTTGGCCCGTGTGTCAGCATGTTTCTCTTCAACAGAGATTACACACTAGGCCTATGCTGCTGCTTGCCGACGTTCTGCACATTTTGGTCTCTGTGAAGTTGTTGTAGTAGAGAGTGAACCACAGCGGAGCAAAAGAAGCGTACACAAAGGTTTGTCGGTTGAGGACAAACAGCAGAGCTGATCCTAGCAGAGGTGGATTAAAAATCAATTATATTATGCAAAATCCAAATCTGCAAAACGTTTGCAAATCTGAACCAAAGAAAATAAAAATCCCGGAAAATATTATTGAGAATAGTTCTGAGCCAGTAACGATTTATAAGGCATAAACTGATAAATTAAAGAGCAGTGGAACAAACAGTGTTACAGTGTTACACTGGTTTCAAAAGGTTCAGGCTCTATCAAAATTTCTATGTCAAGCCAAATTATTTCAGTTAAGACTGAGGACTACGGCATTAAAATTTAGAAATGAAATTGCCATGAATCCCAGGGGGCACAATTCATGTAAATTTTGACCTGGTTGTTCCACTTGGTTAGGTTCCTTGGTGCAGCCTAGAATTTGTACATTGCAAAATTTGTACACAACGGAAAGATTTCTATGTCCAGCCGATTTCACCATCAACTGCAACAGCCCAACCTACAGCCCCAAACAATGTGTGCACAAGTGCCATGCACGATTGCTGAACTCTTATTTAGCAAGAAGTCACAGTTGTAATTCAAAAAGTACAAATGTGGGCAGTGACAGAGACACGACACTGTAAAAAAAATGTGTGTCTCAGTGAGGATTCTGATAATAAGACACTTTGTAGTGTTAGTTAGTACATCTGTTAAAAAATTAACCTCCAGGAATAGCACATTGCTGTTTTGCGGACACAGAACCCTATTGGATGGATGCAAAGGAATGCATTGATGAAAGAACATATGTGAAGCGTGCTGACAAAAAGAGTTACTTCTCGGATTCAGGCCTTAAGGAAATAGATACATCACACTTATAGGTGAAGTTTTTACAATTTATAGGTATGAAATATAAGGAGTGTTATACTTTTAAAGAATATGGCATCTATAGAAAATTTACAAATTTGACACTATAGTGTCAATTTTTGGTCAATATCTCCATTTGAGGACTGCGAGAAGTAACTCATTTTGTCAGCACGCCTCACATATAACTGCATGTTTGTATCTTGAAGGAATGCGTGTATTTCATAATATTGTGTGTGTTTATCTGATGACGTTTCTCAACGTGTGTAATTTTCAGGCCCAAGAAGCTATTCATTTTAAAACAATAAGACAGTATGATGTACTTTAAATGTGTATATTATTTATATTGTCTATTTTATTCCAAACAGTTTTCAAACCTCCTGGGGTCCGTGTACAGAAAGGGAAATATCACATTCACTCCAGATGGAAACAGTGTCATAAGCCCTGTTGGTAACAGGATTTCCATCTTTGATTTGAAGAAGTAAGTGTAGTTTAGTATTTTGTGTATCTTAATTGCAGTCTAATGAACTGACCATTTCCATCCTAAAAAAAATTCTTATCGTTTTAGAAATAACAATTTACAATGTGGGTTAAATAGTTGTACAACAGTAGTCTCCGCCAAAGGTCTGCAGCACTTGTCGCTACACCCAAGTTTGCTAAGCAAAGAGGAGAGGGCACTCAGTCAGAGATGAAAAGCAATACATTTTTTACAGGAGAAGGGGAGGGGCAATAGGATCAAGCATAGACCTTGAGATTCACGAATGGGTAAATAAAATGACATGCCTCGTGCAACCACTCTTTCTTCGCCATAAGTCATAAACCCACCCCCATTGGCCCTATGAGTACATTTCAGAGTAAGGGAGGATTGTTTTAACGATTGTTGGCTTGAATATGAGTCACTATGGATTTTCCCCTTGGTGCATTGGGTAAGATCCCATTCGCTTAAGACCTTGCATTTTCCTTGCTCCTACAGCACTGGGATCTTGGGCAGAGACTTAAGTTACTGTGTATAAAATTGTCTTGTAGAGATATATTTCAGTTCAAATTGTCTCTTAAAATTACCAAATTTAGATGTGTTTATCTTATTTGAGAGAAATATATAAAATTTGTTAATCATTTATGAATTGAATGCCATTCTTAAAGCAATGTTCTCGTACAGGGTGTCCCAGAAATTATGCGGCATCCTGAGAACCTTGTCATACATGAACATTGATGATTTGAAGGAAGTACTTAGTAAGGAGGGCGAAAAAAATCATTCCTAAAACACTCAAGCGTGTAAAAGACAGCTTTTTTGAGAAATTTGATGTTTTTTCTATTCCTGAGAGAAATTTTAAAGTTCAAGCATTTATTAAATATATATATCGAATCAAGCTGTTTTTGATGAAAATCAGGACTGTGCTCGACTTTTGGCACACCTTGTACAAGTTGGATGTTATGAAAACATTTGAATTCATTTATCTACAGCAACAAGTCTCAAACACTGCCAGTTGAAACTCGGGTAAATGTTACCTCCATTGCCGTGTCCCCTGATGGTCGCATTGCCATACTTGTCACTGAAGGTGAGACATTTAATATATAACAATTAAGTGGCAGCTGTGGAGTATATTCGTCTCCTATCAACTCTTCTTTCAGGACCAGTGATGAAAATACTAACTTTGAAAAATGCTTTCCAACAAACATATCCAACCTTACGTTTCTAATTATCCAAGGTTTGCTGTAGTCAGGTGACAAATTCTTTGTTTGTTTGTTTGACACGTGTGTTAAGAATAAAATCACTTCATGTATGAATGACGCATGGAAGGGAAGAGCGTTGAATTGTGTTAATATGAAATGGTTAAACTTCTTTGCAAATATGGGCTTAAATTTGGAAAAGAGACAGATTCAATATTTGTGTGTGTGTATGTGTGTGCGCATGTGCACACGCGGACGTGTGTGGGTGCATAAAGAATTTGTATCTCAAGAATGAATAAATACAACGAGGTGAGAATTTAACTGATTTGACTAGCTTGAGGTTTTCTCAGCAACTAGAATTTATGATGGCTTGGATTGCAAGTCACTGATAAAAGTTTGTTGTTTAAGTCCTAGGGAGGGAAGGCATTTTCTCCATGGTAAGATGGTCTTGGGGGGAAATGTCTCGGGGGGGGGGGGGGGGGGCATCTATTAGTTCCATCTTCTTCGTCAATCTGGCCCTCACCTGACCATCTAAAGACACTAGTCAACTATTACTCATTACTCAAATTATTAGAAATAAATTGTCATGATTATAGGTGGGTGGTTGGCGGGTTCTCTGGTGTGGTCTGCTTCTTCTTTCCTATCATAGGAAAGAAGAAGCAGATCATCAAACATCTATCGTCCTTATCTCCCCTCCTTTTTTATGTTTGTTACTCTCTTGTAACACCTCTAGTCTTCTGGCGCTCTTATGACCTTATAAAGTTGCGACGCCGTAAAACCTCTACTTAAACAAATGTCATGATTATCGGTATCTAATCTTGATCTGGCATTTGATGATGAAAAATGAGAAGTAATTATCATTAGTTGTTGCTCTAGTGTGGTTTACTCCTTCTTTCCTATCAAACATCTATCTATTGTCCTTATCTCTCCTTTTTTTGTTTGTAATTCTCTTGTAACACCTCCAATCTTCGGCACAACTTTGACCTAATTGTGTTACAAGTGCCATAAAGCTCTTACTTAAAGAAAAAAGTGATTATCAACTTATAATAAACGCTTGCTTTGTTTTCTCCCACTATGTCTAGGTATCTTTCATCTTATAGATTGTAAAGGGCATAGATAGAGCTTGCTGTTGAGCGGAATTTGCTCTATACAAATTTTATGCTGTGTATTATTATCATTATTATTTGTTATTATGATCTACAGAGGGGGAAGGTTAGATTGTAAAGCGCATAGAGCTTGCTGTTGAGCGGGAATTTGCCCTTTACAAATTTTATGCTGTCTATTATTATTATTATTATTATTATAATACTATTATTATTATTATGATCTACAGAGGGTGAAGGTCTCCTGGTGAGCTTGGTCAGCCAGAGTGTGTTAGGCCATTATCATTTTCATAAAGAGGTCCGCCAAGTCCAGTTCTCCCCCGATGGAAGGTAAGAGCACTACCTTCATGCCTTTTTTCTTCTTTTCAATGGTTTCTATTTACCTAATATGTTCCAAACGAAAATGTGTGGTGTGTGGGTGGTTGGAGAGCCCACTGGTAGGTCCTGCTTCTTTTCTTTCTTTCCCTCTTGTTACTGTCTGCCAACCGTATTTATTTTTTTCCTTACTCTGAATGACTGTTATTTCTTTAACCAAACAAAACCAAATGTGTTTGTTATTTTTGTGTTGACTCCTTGTATTTGTATACTGCATTTCTGATCCGTAATTTTTGTTTGAGACCTTTCTCTCTTTGTGGGTGGTTGGCGGGTGCTCTGGTGTTTTTTGCTCCTTCTTTCCTATCAAACATCCGCCTTCCTGATCTATCTTCCTTTTTTGTGTTACTCTCTTGTAACACCTAAAATCTTCAGCACTTACTTATATAATGACCTTATTGTGTTGCGAGTGCTGTAAAAGTTTTACTAAAACTCACAGAACTTTCTCTCTTTCTCCAGCAAATTTGCTGTGGTTAAAGACACTGTGGTACAAGTTTTTTACGCCCCTGGAAAAACGAGGGAATTTAACCCGTTTGTGTTGTACCGCACCTACCCTGGACATGTTGATGAGGCTGTTTGTCTGGACTGGACCTCGGACTCAAGGTAATGAACTGTGTCCTAGAATTTCTTGCTTCATAGCTTTGGGTGTGCTGTGATCGAGTTGAGCTACTGTGGGTGGTTGGTGGGTGGTTTGGTGTGGTTTGCTCCTTTTGTGTCAAACATACGCCATCCTTATATCTCTTTTTTTTGTTTGTTATTCTCTTTTATCACCTCTACTCTTCGGCACTTATATGACTTAACCCTATCCGTACGTCGTGTTTTACTATCGTATCCATACGACGTGGGGAACTCTGTGCCTCCACTTTCCAAAGCGGAAATTTACTCGTTAATCCGATTGGTACGCTTTGCATAGCAGTCTGTCAAAATGATTTTTTTGGAGAAATACTGAAAGTTTCAAAGAGATCTTTGTACTAGAAGTATTGTAAAATGTGAAGAATACAACCCCGGGGGTACAAAATGACCTCAGGGCGTACGGATAGGGTTAATTGTGTTGCAAGTGACTTAAAACTTAGGAAAAACAGTTGAGCTACCTCCCCCTGCTGAAGGTTCATGCTACTTCACAATAACTCCCTTGGGACCAGGCTGTTGTTTCCAATTTACTGTTCTGATCACTTGGGCGACATACATCTAAAGTTTTTTGTGGCTTACGTCGAATTTGAATAAATTAACGATGGTTCAGAATCATTTAAAGGGTACACAGTTATATTAAGGAGTCTGAAGTCGCGGTAGTTTAATTATCAGTTTTTCATGTGTTTTGTTTTGATATAATCTTAGGAAAGTCCGTTTTCTAAGACGCCATTTTGTAAACAAGTGAGATAAACAGTGCGCACTGATTCCACAATGACTTGACGATCGATTCTTTTGAGTCTTGTTCATCGAACTGGTACCCAGCTATTATTTGAATGTTGTACATGCTCCCTGTGACAACTTAATTACAACTGAGAGGATGTCATTGCACCCCCCGGGGCAGTGCCACTGACTGTAGTGTCTTTAGGCCATTCCCAAAAGGGGGACATTTCTTGTTCAAGCACAGTAGAATTGTAAATGGGCTGATTCATCATGTCACGCTCATAACTGTGCCTGATCTACAACAGGGAACTGCTGCTTTTTCTTTCCTAATCCTTACTATTTTCATTTTCCTCTACTTCTTTTGTATGTTTGTCACACTCTTCTCACCTGCTATTTCCGGGGTGCCTTGATAGTCGAAGCAGACCTTGTGCTGTTGAAGCTAGAGAGGTGAGCAGAGTAAGTCTGATTCCCTGTAAAGACTTCTCTGTTGACACTCACCCCTTGGCGCTCATATGACCTCTTCCAATTTCCGAGTGCCGTAAAACCATCTACTATAAAAAAAAAGATGTCATTACTAAGACCTTTTTATGTTATGTTTTGTTTTAACTTATCTTTTCTTCTGATTTACAATGATGTACGCCACAAATCTGCTCTACAAACTCATAGAAACTATCTTGTCTGTCTTTCTAATTTTGTGGGGTTCATATTTTTTGTCCTTTTCAGGGTGCTGTGCACTGGGTCAAAGGATCGCAGGACAAGGATCGTGGCCACACAGAGACTCAAAAACCTCAATGTGTACGATCTGGGTGGGGTCAGGGACACAGTCATTGGTGCTTTCTTTGCACTCAACTCCATGGACGTATCCTTTCAAATTTTATGTTACTTGTTTAATGTTACTGTGTTAGAATGAGGTAAAAACAAGAAGATGTTCAGATCTTTCAGTGTGTTAATTTGTGAGGTATAAATGTTCACTGTGTCATCACTGGTTAAGAAAGCTCTTACAGTACTGTTACCCAAGTTTTGACAAGCTACATGTTTTCATCTGTATTTTACCTAGTACCGACACACTCTTATCTCAATCTGCATTTACGGATTAATTTCTTACTTTGGAAGAGTAAGTTTGGACAAGTTTCTACACACTAAAAAAAAATTGTCTGTTACTGACAGGTTGTTGGTATCTGTGGAATAAACTCAAGCTGACTTGACTAAATAAATGTCTCAAATGGTTGCTGGAATTTTTTCCCCCACATTACTTTTGTTTTTATGCCTTGAGACCACAGTTGTAAAGTGTTTTGTCTAATTTTTCGTTTGTTCTTAACTTACTTCTTTTCCTTTTTTTTTTAAAACCCTGATTTTTACCTAGATGTTAGAAAGGACACGATGTTCATTAGGAATAAAAGCATTCGGTTGCTTTTCTCTTTTACTCAAACAAGTTTGTAAATGATCTGTAAATCGAAGCATTGTTCCTTACACGTTCATAAGATCTACTGCGTGGCCCGAGATGCTTATGTCTTTGTGTGGAAATGTGACACAAAGCTTTCTGATCTGGAGCCCTGGGTAGAGGAAATCTCAAAGAATAAAGAAGATGAAGATGAGGATGATGATGATGCCGATGAAGATACTGGATCTAAAAAAAAGTCCAAAAAGAAACGGAAAATACCTGAAGCAGGTAGGAGCTATATGGGTTTGAAGGACATGCTTATGTGCTGTGATATTTCTTGGTAATTCAGAGAAATTAAATGATTACATGAAAATCCATAGTCCACAAGGTTTCTCTCTTATGTTGTTAACTCTTACAGTACTGAAGGTTCATATAGTGAAAAACCCTTAGGTACTGCTCCAGTTTAGAACGCCGAAGCCGTGGTAGAATTTTTTAAATTAGAAAAACCTTGGCAGCCCAAGAAACACGCTTTAAAAACCATTCAGCTATCATATAGAGTGACTTCCTTTGGTATTTACTTCAGCGCAGTGCGTCCGTTTGTCATTTAATTATGTTTTGTGTGCCTGGTTGCGTCGGCGACTAAAGTCACCAGCGGTAGGGAGCGCATACTGCTACGGCCTGGCGACTAAAGTTGTCGATTGTACTGAAGTGTTACCAGGCACAGCATTACTTGTAGTGTTACTATTCCTCTAGTATTTGAAGTCTTGTCAAACAGCAGTTTTGGACAAAAGAATGTGATTGTTATTGTTTTATTTTTATTACTTTTTATTCAAGAGATTATCAGAAAATACATGTCGCTTTAATATTTGCTGTCTTTACTTTTGATTCACGAGTTGGCATAATTTGAAAATGCATTTGCTTTTAATTTTTCTGTCCTTAGAACCTGAACAAGGAAAAGGTATTATATACAGTGGTGGTGGCAAGTAAGTAAATTTCTATTAATTCTCATAAGGTTCTTTTTCAGTTTTATGACCTCCCCATGTTCTGTCAGAAAATGAAACAACTACATTTTGTTACAGATCAATGTTCCAGTTTCTTAATATATTTTTTAAAAATACATCATGGTTTGTTGTCATAGTGTCTTTAAATTTGAGCTCTTTAAAAATTCTAATATGGGTGGTTGGCTGCTGCTCTGCTGTGGTTTGCTTGTTCTTTCATATCAAACATCTATTGTCCTTATCTCCCCTCCTGCTTTTTTATGTTTGTTACCCTCTTGTAGCACCTCTAATCTTCTGGCGCTCATATGACCTTATGCTGTTGCGAGCGCCGAAAAACCTCCACTAAAACAAAGAAAAACAAAAATGCTAGTATTTTTTCGTATTTTTAAAATTTATCTGTCTGCGTTTGTATTTTACTTCGTTGTCCTTCCTCTCAAGTAATTTCCCTCTGGGTACGAGAACAAAACGTCTGTAATCTGCCTGTGAGTTTTAGCAGAGGAATGGAGAAAGAGTTTTTCTGTATTTGCTTCTATACTATTGTTCACCGTGGTGTTTCAGGTTCAGTTTCCGGGAAGCTCGCAAAGACACAGGATTCTGCGAAGTGACCACAGCAGCTTTCCACAAGGCTTCTCATCTCCTTGTGACTGGGTTTGAAGATGGGACATTCTTCTTACACGAGATGCCTGATTTCAACATGATTCATTCACTGAGGTAGCGTGAGCGTATATTGTTGCTGTGAGCTTTATTGCCCTTTTTGACTTCATGTTTTGGGAAATCTTTGCTACTCCAACAGGTGTCGTTAACATTATGTTTGTTACTCTTGCTCTCTTCGGAACAGAGGTAGGGGTTGAAGAAAAGTAAATGGTCACACTTTGCTTTGCGTGGACTTTTTCACAGATATTTGAAAGAATGATGTAGTGCTAATAGTTAAAAGTGCAATAGTCTTGACACGGAAGGCCACCAAGAGGTGGTAGCTGGTGAAATAGTTGCACAAATATGAAATGAAACATTTGAAGATTGTAAATTAGAGGTTTAAATGGCTCCTCATATATACAGGCTGTAACAAAGTAACAATGGACGTCAACATGAATTTATGACAGAAGCGTCGCTCGTTCTCCGAGTGGTGGCGACCCATGTGTTTGTTTTACCATAGCACTCGGTCCTCCTTGTCTGACGCATTTCGTTATATTGTCACCCTTGCTCAAAAGCAGCAATGAAAGAACAAAAAAGAGAAGAAACCCCCCCCCCCCCCAGTGAAAACGACAACAATAACAACATTAACAACAACAACACGGATATCTTCGGTTGGGACCTCAGAAAGGAATGGTTTGTTTTCTTCAGCTTGATCAGTCCTGCCTAAGATGGCCACCTATCTTATATTTCCACTTTTCTCCTTGACAATGGGTGGCTGTCTTACACAGGTTCGACTTTTGTTGTTAAAGGATAAAAGTGTAAAGGGGCTGAAGATCTGCCTGGAAGATCTACAGCCTTTGCACTAGAGACTGGGATGTCCCATTTAGAGATGTGAACAGGAAGAAAAAGAAGAAGAGCTGTTTATAAAGTGTTGTCTTCAACATTTTTGTCTTGTGAAAAGAAATTTCCACAAGGATTTGAAAAAAAATTCCCTTCTCAGCATTTGTTTTTCTACTGGCTTCTCATCTACCCCCCTAGTTAATTTTCCTCATTTTTTCCGTTTATCTAAACTAAGGGTCTGTTTTTGAGAATAGATCACAGATCTATGTTTATGAAGACAGCATTTTTCTTCTTGTGAAAAGAAATTTCCATAAAAATGTGAAAAGAAATTTTCACAAGGATTTAAAAAAAAAAAGAGTTGTGTTTTTGTTCTTCCTTTTTGTTGAGTACTGTACTGAGCCATTCTTACTATTTGCAGCATTTCAGAGCAGAGTGTGAACTCAATGGCCATCAACAACTCTGGAGAGTGGATCGCCCTGGCCTGTGGCAAGCTTGGACAGCTGTTGGTGTGGGAGTGGCAGTCGGAGTCGTACGTGCTCAAGCAGCAGGGCCATTTCAACGACATGACGTGCATCACATACTCTCCAGATGGACAGAACATCGTCACTGGGGGTGGAGATGGAAAGGTTAGATTGGCGCTTGTTCATTTGAGTTTCCCCCCTGCCTGAAAGTGTAGTACAGTTTTGAGTAAATGAAAGTTCATTGACTTTCAAATTGTGATGTCACTATTTGTGCTACTTGAATACCTGCCTCGCTCTCGAAAACTTTTAACACATATTGGTGTGTGCAGTTGGGAAATGTGCCTATGCACCATTAATTTCTTGCAAAGCCATCTACTGCACTTCAATATTTTTAGAGTCATGGGCTCTTGAGGTATTCATGGTGTGACTGGTGAATATTGAACAGTAGTGAATAGAACCTACTTTCTACAGGCATGTTTATAACTGATTATTATTTATTTTCAGGTCAAAGTATGGAATTCTTTCTCAGGATTTTGTTTTGTGACCTTCACTGAACATGTGGGTGAGGTGACTGGTGTCAAGGTCACACAGAATGGGAAGAGTGTCCTGTCTAGCTCCATGGATGGAACAGTCAGAGCCTTTGACTTGACGCGGTAACTGTTTGTTAAATTTTTGGTGATAGTAACTTTAATGCCAGTGAGATTACAATATAGTTGGAGGCAGGTGTGAAACAAAAATGGCAGAGTCATATTTTTGGTGATTTTGAGAAATCTTAGTTTAAAAAAAACTGTATCTATATCTTAAATAATGAAATAATGATTGCATTTGTATCTTAAATAATGATAATGATGATAATAATAATATTAATAATAGTGTTAATAACAATTAAAGCTTTTTTTTTTTTCTATTGAAGGCCAGTTATTTCTGTTGAATGGTTAATAAATCTCATGTCCATCAATGTTTTTTATGCGTTAAGTTCGCCAAAACATTGTTTCCCTCTACACAGGAAAAAATAAAAAAATGTTTTGTTAGGATAAGTGAGTTAAAAAAATGATTGAATGAATTTTGTTTTCTTTCATCCTATGAGGTCACTTTCTTATTAATCATAATCTATCCTGTTTTTTTTTTCCTCGACTACCAGGTACCGTAACTACAAGACTTTGACATCCCCCAAACCAGATCAGTTCTCTTGTCTTGCCGTGGATGGGGCTGGTGAGATTGTGTGTGCTGGGGGCACCACGGAGTTCATGATCTATGTTTGGACTATGAAGACAGGACGGCTGCTGCAGGTGCTTACTTTTCGTACTTTTACTTTTTCTATTCTCTTGTACCGCAAAGTGTCAAGGGGAGATGTATTTGTCCGACATGGGCCAGGCATGCTGCCTTTTCAATCGTCAGAAATTTAGGCAAAACTGAAGTACAGTTGAAGCTGCTCTAAAGAGCGCCCGTCTAAGACAATCACTTGTACAAACAACCTCTTACCATCCACCCCCCCCCCCCCTGCCCTTTGCACTTTTTCTTTTATTATAATGAAACTGTCCAAGAGGACTACCTGCCTAAGATGACCTCTCTTCATGTCAATACTGGGTGTTCGTCTTGGATAGATTCGACTGGTTTATCCCCCATTTCGAACTGCTTGACCTAATGCATCTGGAATCAGCTTGGGGATCACAGTGGGGATGGTGCTATCTAAGTCTTACAAGAACAAGAAATATAGGGCTGTGATCATTGTGATGCCTTGAGACATGTTGGGGACAGGGGTTGTTAAATCAGTGCTAATGTTCATCACTGTGTTGGTGTGCTCTTTTTGTAACTGCTCAAGTCTTTATTTTCCATTGGAAACTGTGGATGATATGGGTGGATGATGCATTGTAAGTGTTTTAAAAAACTGTCCTTTTTGTTTAAACATTGGGGTTTTCTTTTTCCATCCTTCCCTCTGAAAAAAATATTCATGTGACCTTGTTACTCTAATAAGCAGAGGGGACATTTCTCGTTCAAGCACAGTAGAATTGTAAATGTGCTGATTCGTCATGTCACGCTCATAACTGCCTGATCTATAACAGGTAACTACTTCTTTTTCTTTCCTATTCCTTACTATTGTTATTTCCTCTACTTCTTTTGTATGTTTGTCACACTGTTGTGACCCACTATTTCCGGGGTGCCTTGATAGTCAAAGCAGACCTTGTGCTGTTGAAGCTAGAGAGGTAAGCAGAGTAAGTCTCATTCCCTGTAAAGACCTCTCTGTTGACACCCACCCCTTGGCGCTCATTTGACCGTATGCAGTTGTGAGCACCGTAAAACCCTGTACTATAAAAAAAATAAAAAATAATAATAAGCAGAGAAACAAGGGTTCACAAAGAGTGTATGAATTCAAGAGTCTTTTCGACATGAGCTAGTGCTAATCATCCTGCTTTTATTCGTTGACATCTAGACGCTGGCTGGCCATGAGGGACCCATCAGTGCCTTGGATTTCAGCCAATCAGATGGGGTCCTGGCTAGCGGCTCTTGGGACAAGACTGTGAAGCTGTGGGGCATCTACGAACAGGCTGGCATGAGGGAGACCATTGACCTCAACTCTGATGGTATGCCTCTTTATTTTGACTTCTCTCTGATGGTATGCCTCTTTATTTTGACTTCTCTCTGATGGTATGCCTCTTTATTTTGACTTCTCTCTGATGATATGCCTCTTTATTTTGACTTCTCTCCTCCTTTTCTTTGTTTGTACCCACTAGCAACGCCTCTAATCTTTGGCACTTTTATGTCTTAATTGTGATGCAAATGCCATAAAACTCTTTCTTGGAAAAGAAAAAGCTAAAAATTATTGAAAAGACTGACCTTCATTTACTGAAGAGAGTTGATCTAGACAGACCTGCCACTCATCCCGATTTAATCGGGATATCCTGATTTTTTGCCCCAAATCTCAAACATCCTGATTTTCCCGATTTCGATCGCTAGTATCCTGATTTTTTGTTGTTGTGTCTGTTGCGTCAGATTCTTAGAAAAAAAATGTAAAAGTTCTGCAATCTCTTTTGCTTGGAAGCACCGATTGGATTTTTTATCGGCAGGAACTTGGAACGCTACTTTCTAAAGCATCTATGCCGAATCTAGTGGATGACTCACGCTCATTATTTCAACTAAAATCAACGTAGTATCGATTTTGAATTCAGACATGGATACGCTCAAGATCTACTTTAGCTTTTATAACGCAGGATTCTCCGATGGTGTCCTGATTACTGTAACAATTATGACATGGGCTTTTAAGAGTAATCTATTCGTTGTTCTGCCGTTGCTTTATAAGCAAGCTTCGTCTGAGTTCTGGTTAGTCGGGCCCATCATCAAGACCTGTCAGTGGAACTTTCAAACACTCATTCGCATCACGTGACATGACCTCGCATGTGTGAGTAGCGCGTGTGTCGGGGACCGTCGGCTGTCGGGGTCAACAAAGTTCGTTCACATCGGTCGCAATGGTCGAGGTGTTTTTCGGGACTTAACCAGTGTGGACGACCGGGGTGGGAGGGGGTGGGGATATTTTTTTGACACTTGGGCTGTGCGTGCCATGATACATGTACTAATTGAGGATAAAGGAATAAGAAAAAAGAAAATAAATGAACAACCTTGGCGCAATCTTTTTTTCGGTGGGGGGGATGCCTTGAGTGGATATGCGATGGAAGTCAGACGTTGTTACCGTACGAAAACGCGGGCTTTTTGCATGGATGATTAGAGTTATGTGTCAGCTATTTTCAAAACTACGAGAGTTTCAGCTTTGCATCCTGCGCTCCCCCAGTCTATCCAGCTCCGACTCGAGTACATATGCTGTCTTTCAGTTTTCTCTCCATTTAGAGGCCCAAACATGAACTTATTCCTGCAAAAGATTTCTCTTGCATACTTGCCTCATAAAAGGGAACCAAGACGACCCTCCTTCCCCAGTACCCCTCATAACTGATTTGCCGTTGATCCCGATTTTTTTCTCCAGATCCTGATTTTTTTACTCTAAAATCCTGATTTTTAGATTTCATAGAGTGGCAGTGGCAGGTTTGTCTAGAATTTCAAGAATGCAGTCTATGCAAAACTTTTTGTTGTGTATTGATGATCATGTGACATTTTATGTCCTGCTAAATGGATACAATGCCGAAATACCCTTTTTTGTATGTTGTCTTGACTTCTGGAATTTTTTTTTCTTTCTCTTTTTGGCCTGTTCTGGTTGTTCTGGTCTAATTATTTCTTTATATTTTGGTCGATTTTAGTTGCTTGATCAAATTTTTTTATGTATGGTCTCACCATTTCCTTCGCAGTGCTGGCTTTGACTTTCAGGCCTGATGGCAAAGAGTTTGCAGTTGCCACCCTCAATGCCCATGTTACATTTTGGGACACAGTGTCTGCTCAACAGAAGGGAACCATTGAGGGTCGGCATGACCTTGGCTACTCCCGCAAAGATGCTGACAAGGTTTCAGCAAAGACATCTGCAGAGGGAAAGTGAGTCATCATAAAAAGTCTGTCTAATGGGTTGAGCTGCTTTGGTTGATCTAATAGGAACTTTTCAAAGAGAGTGTAAAAAAACTCAGTGTGTTTTGAGACTGACATCTTAAGGGTTTTTTTTTCTTCCTTCTTTTTCATCTTGGTCATTTTTAAAGGACACCCCAGTCTGTAGTCCGAAGGTTGCTGTTTGCCGCTGGTCCTTTAGACACTCATAGAGTTTTTGGGAATCTTTGCCTTGGGTTGGGCCAAAATCTCCTCTGAAGTGCCTCATGCGTAGGACAGGCTTGAAGTATATGATTTGCTGTTATGTTGTCAGTTCTGCATAGATACGACTCTGAATTGTGCATCCTAAACTTGTGAGAGAAGAAAATACAGCAACAGATATCATTATTCCTGATATAGCAACACAAATAATGTAGTTGTAGTTGTAAAAGTATAAAAGGACGAGTTTCTCAGCAATTATTTAATTGTTGAACTTGATGACTGAAAAAGTATGAACTCGGCGCGTCACGCTTTGCATTCTAAAAATACTTCAATTTCAGAACTTAAAATATTTGTAAGATTTCTTCTGATGACCTGACTGCTATTTCTCTGCTCCCATAGCTGAAAAGTCATATTAAGCACAACACATACAAATTTCAAAGCTGTAGCACCATTTATATTGGAATGGGAAAGGATTTTGTATCGTACGGGTATATTGGCAAAGGCTCATATAATTTGAGAATTGAGCTTATGCTGTTTGTAAAGTGAAAAGTTACTAGCAGGCAAGTAAGATTTAAGAAAGCTTGTTATTCTTCTTGTATTTTTCTCAAATTGTCCGTTTTCCTAGTTTATTAAATGATCAATCAAAAAAAAAAAAATCTTTCCTCTTTGTTAGTGAAAACAAAGTCAAGTTGTAGAAGAGAATTACCCTTTTGCCTTCTCTATCCTCCCCAGAGCCTTTGAGACATTGTGCTACAGTGCCGATGGTCACTGCATCCTGGCAGCTGGACGCTCCAAGAATGTCTGTATCTATTCTGTGTCAGACCAGCTGCTGATGAAAAAGTTTGTCATTTCCTGCAACCACTCGCTGGATGGTATTGAGGTGAGTTTTTAGAACGCCACAGATGCAGTTAAAGTTCAAAGTTTTGTTTTTCCTCTTTTAGTTTGAATATAGTGCCATTGGTGTTTTATGCCCCCCCCACAAGCACAGTTTAGGTAACTAAGGAGAGAGGTTATTTTGACTGTCAATCAGGATCAAATGTGCTGGAGTGGGTAGGTTTTGAAAATGTAATATTGGTCAGAATTGTTTTATACTGTGGTGTGTATGCAGAAGTGAAATTTCTTAAATTTTCAGTCATAATCTCAGTTATTCCAAGAAATTGTTGTAACATCATCATTGTGGTACTAAAGGACATTTTGGGTTTTTTAAATATAATTATGTATGTAAAACCAACAAACTCAGGAATAAAATTATTTCTTTCGTTTCCTTCTTCTTCTCCTCCTCTTTCAACATTTTTTTCTTCTTCTTCAATGGCCATTTGTGATCATGGTTTGCCACTCATTTCTCTGTCTAGATGCTCTCAAAAAAGTACATATGCAAGTCGCCCATCTGTTCAAGCTTTCTTAGCGACTGATTCTCAACATATATTTCTGCCTCAATGAACTTTAATCCTTAATTTTGCTACACTTTACAGGAATTCTTGGACAGAAGGAAGATGACGGAGTGGGGCAGTCTTGCCCTAGTGGACACTGGGCAGGGAGATGAGAAGGGCTCAGCTATCTCTCTACCTGGTGTGAAGAAAGGGGACCACAGCTCTCGCCACTGGAAGCCTGAAGTGCGAGTCTATTCCCTGCAGTTTTCACCCACAGGTAAGAAATACACCAGGAGACCTCCCCTGTCTTGGCCGGGTGAGAGGTTACATGTACTGGGTAAAAGTGTGAGTGGTTTGGGTTCTTGTGGGAAGGAGTTTCTGGAGAGTTCTTGTGTCTCTTAATTCTGTAGTTGGAGTAGATGCCACTGGTAGGTCCTACTCTTCACTCTCCATTGTTTCTATCAATCTGTCTTACTTTTTTCCCTGCAGTAAATGACTGTTTTTCTATTGATGTGCTTCTCTGTGCTAAAGAATACCACAACACAAGTAACTGTCTTTGACCTGACTGAGAAAGACTCCTCATATGCTGTGATTATACCTTACCCTTTTATTTTTATCTCTTGTCATTTTGAAAATAAGGACAGCATAGGGATACACTGTGGGTTTACATAGGGATATGCTGTGGATTTACAGGACGCTTTTGAACCTCTTTTTGATGTTGTTAGCTGCTCCCTCACTTGAGCCTTTTAGTTGGAACCAATCCAATGAGAGAAGTGCTTAGAATTGAGTTGTGGCAGTCCTGAGCCGAAACAAACCAGCGAATCCTTTGTCTGTGGACGGTGGCTGTGTAGAGATGTTAGGTAATGGTTTTCACTGGCATTTCCATTGTAGGAGTGGCTTTTTAAAAAAGAAAATGGTAATGCGAAAGTGTTTGTCTTGGTTAAAATGTGTTAAATATTTGCTTTGTGTATGTTTAATACTAGGTCTCGCCCCTTGAAAATCAGGTCATTCTGACAGTGTGGGCCTGTACTGAAAAAAAAAAAATGACCAGCCATAAAGTTTTTTGTTAAATAAGTAATCTTGTTTTTCTGTGAATGGTGTCTAGTTATTTAAAAACAAAAGTGGGTCTGTCATTATTAATGTAAGATCGCTTATATGGTTATATGCTTCCCAGGAAGTTGAGATTGTCTCTGAATGCTATCAGGTCTGCTGGGGTAATAATATAGATTGTACAGCACGTGGATCTTGCTGTTGAGTGGGAATCTGTGTTATTTAATCTTACCAGCCCCCACCCCCCCAGGATTTCATCTGGCCCTATTGCTGTTTATGATTAATTTGTGTCTTCACGTATTCCTCACAGGTCGATCGTGGGTGGCTTGTTCGACGGAAGGTCTCATGGTGTACTCTCTGGACCAGGGGGTCGTGTTTGACCCGTTCGAGCTGGACATGGACATCACGCCAGCCAGCGTGAGGAGGACCCTGGGCAAGGGGGAGCATTCGGCGGCCTTGATGCTCAGCTTTCGGCTCAACGAGCAGAGCTTGATACAGGAGGTGCTGGAGGCAATACCAGTGGACAGTGGTATGTGCTGCTGTGTTTGGCTTCTCCCCCCCCCCCGCGGCCTTTTGTGGAAGTTATTCTGGTAAACGTGAAGTATAACACTCTGGTGTCTTCATGCTAGCCAGCCTGGCGATTCCTGTTCCTGTTAGATATAGCTGTGACCCCAATGGAGACCATCAATGTTGCACACTATTCTATAATGTCAAGCAGCCTGATTTTTTTTTTTGGAGGAGGGGGGTGAGACGAAAGAGGCAAAGCAATGAAGTAGAAACTATGTTTTATTTCGCATTTTATGCCCTTATAAACCCAACATTCTTAAATTTCGCCCATGTTTTTACCAGCACTTTCAAGGCTTGGACTAGCATACGAAAGTAGTGTTCATGTGCTTGATAGTTCTCATCTGGTGTTTAAGAAAAAAGTGGTGCCCAACTCTAAAGAATATGATTTTTCTTTCTTTCTATTTTCAACTTTAGTAATTCATAGTACTTACTGACCAGTTACAATCCTTTTGATGTCGTCAATGTCACTGTTAAAACTCAAATTTCCCTCATTGTTATAAATGGATGGTTGATGGATGCTCTGTCAATTTCTCCTCTGTTAATCAGTTAACCTTATCCGTACATCTTGGGGATATTTTGTACCCCCGGGGTTATATTCTTCACATTTTAGAATATTCTAGTGCGAAGATCTCTTTGAAACTTTCAGTATTTCTCAAAAAATCATTTTGACAGACTGCTATGCAAAACGTAGGGATCGGATTAACGAGTAAATTTCCTCTTTGGAAAGTGGTGGCACAGAGCTCCCCACGTTGTATGGATACGATAGTAAAACACGACGTATGGATAGGGTTAATCTGTATGCTGGGGATATGTCGCAGTTGTCAAGTAGAGTGGCTGTAAACTTACACTAAATATTTTTGTTCTTACAGCTGATGTCATCATCGAGTCCTTGCCTGATACGTACGTGGACAAACTGCTGGCATTCATGGGTCACATGATTGAGAGCTCCGCACACATTGAGTTCTATCTCTTGTGGCTCCTCCCCTTGCTCACAGCTCACGGGCCCAAGTTGAAGCAGCGATCGCAATCGGTGATGTCATCCCTGCGAACTCTGCAGAGAAATTTGACCCGCAAATACGAGGATCTGAGGAAAATGTAAGCTTTGGAGACGTTTGTGTTGTGATGAAGGGAAACAGCCACATCTCTGGGGCTCAGGGGTATTTTTGTTTTAAGTAGCTCTGAGATAGTTTTTTTGGGGGGTTTTATTTTTTTTTTAAAGCGGCGATGTGCTTCTTCTGTTATCAAAGTCTCTGATTTACAACACTAGTGTGCAAGGAAAATGAGGGATCATAGACGACGCACCTATGTGGGTTTATGACTTATGGCGAGCAAAGAGCAGTCAACCTTGATGACCAATCACAATGGCAAGAGGCATGCAATTATCACTTATATTTATCGTGAATCTCAAGATCTATGCCAATCCTTTTGCTCCTCCCCTTTACCTGTTGAAAATTTACAGCCGTCCATCTCTGACTTCAGTTCCCCAGACTCTCGTGATGCACCATTGTGTTGCGACCACACCCATTGAAATTCTGCCTGTCTAGCAAATTCCAGTGTCGAGACAACTGCTGCAATGTCAGGCCTGCCAACCTTCCCGATTTTGTTGGGAATTTCCCGAATCAGATGCGCTGCTCCCGACTTCCCGATATCAGTCTTGATTTCCCAATTTTGGAGTTGCACCAATATTATATTATTTTAATTATTTGTGCGAAAATTATGAATGAAGTCAACGATACCGGAACTCGGGTGTTCCTAAAATATCCAGATTAGTCGTGTGTCTTTTACTGTTTGGCGGTTCGGCTACATATAATGCTCAAGTAAACCTGGCAACCGAATTTGCACTCTACGTTTACTCGGTGTTACCTCTTTGGCCATAAATACGGAGATCTTTTTATATGAAAAAGTTAAGTGTGACAGGAATATGACCTGGCAGGCAGCGTGCCCCTCTGATTTTCCCTATTTTGTATTTTCAAAAGTTGGCAGGCCTGTAATGGTCAAGAAATAGAAACAAAGACAAATTCACAGTTCGAAGTAATCCTGTCTGATGCTGATTTGTTGTAAGCCCTACCCACCCAGTGTGTAATGAAAGTTTAGGTGGAGAGCTCAGATGCGAGTGCGATGTTTTTGGGGGAATCAAACAGGTTGACAAGTTCACAATTCAGTGCAGTCCCATCTGAGGCAAACATTGTACTGTTTCGTTGAGATTTACAACAGAACTGTGATCACATTCACAATAGCGGATGATCTTTGACGCAATGGGCAGTGCAATGATCACTAATTTTCACCACTTATCTGCTGTGCCCACCCGGGTTTTTGTTCCTTGAATTATGACCTGAAATGTGGGATCTTAGCCAAATGTAGTCCTTCAGAGTGGGATGTAGGGGTGAATTGTATAGTAAAAATCCTGTTTTCTTAAAACAGCTAAATCTCAAGCGAACCGGGATCGTAAGTTGTGGGATCTTAGGCGGAGACTACTTTACTAGATTTTTGTCCCCCTGCTAACTGAGCCACCTCTCAAATAAAAAACCTGGCTAAATCAAAGAAAATCTGATGGTGTCACAGAATTTGGTTTCAGTGGATTCCACAATACCTTTTTTTGTTTGTTGACAGTGTGATTAGTTAGGAATGATCAGTTGTCAACACCCAGATGTCACTCAGATTCTACAACTTCACAAAGTAATTTTTCAGCCTCAAACCAATGTCAGATGTTTGTTGTTCTCTTTTCGCAGCGCTGACCACAACAAGTACTTGTCCCAGTACCTGCAGTCTCTTTCACAACTGAAGAGAAAGAAACCCTCAGGTGCAGTGGCGAAAGAAGTTGGTCAAGACTCTGACGAAGATGATGATAGTGAGGACGAGAATTTGAAGGAGTTGGCATGGAGAGAAGGGAGCTCGGATTCTGATAGCAGCATGGATATCTTGTAAATAATAAAATATTGTTCTAAGGCCTAAAACTGTTATTGTTGTTACCTTAATTCTTGCGAGTCTGTGAATGTGGCAAATTGTGTACTGGTATATTTAAGTTTTTTTCTTGTCTCATTCTTCAGAGTAATAATTCTGACCCATTCTTTGTAATCATTAATTACTATTATTAGTTTGCATGGTTCTTTACAGTGAGAAGCATAATAACTCCTCACAGCACTGGTTCCTTTCCCATGCTGTTTATTTGCCACTCGTATATTTGATATACTTCATAGTGTCTTCGGTGGTTCAGTGGTTAGGCTGTTGGCTCGCAACTGAAAAGTTGTAGGTTCAAGCCCCCCCCCCTTTACGGGCCCGACGTGACCTATGGAAAGGTACTTCACATGAATGAGTACCGGGCTATAGACCGCAAAAGATCTCTTGTCTGTTTATGTTTGGGCGCTTAATCAGCTGCTTACAAGTTTCCTGGGCAGCTGAGAAACTAAGAATGTTTCTGAGTGTTCTAGGGTAGTAATATAGATATGTAAAACGTAATAGACTAGAGCTGGCTGTTGAGCGGGACATAGCTCTAGTGCTAAATAAAAGTCTTTTTTTGAATGATTTAAACAGCAACTACTTAATATGATAAATAGGCACCAAATCAGAGGAGTCCTACAATGGATTCTTGTCCACACTGGAATACCGGGAAATGAAAGAGCTGATGCTTTAGCAAAGAAAGGAGCTAGTCTCCCTCAGCCTGATATTCTTACTGATTACCCCACCTGCTGCCAAATGATCAAGTCAAACCTCAAGGAAGACTGGAAGAATGATTGGGTCGCAGGTACGACAGGAAGGATGATGTATGGCCACATGAATAAACCACTGGTCAAAGTTCCAATCAATGAGTTGAGGAGGGGAGATCAAATCCACAATCTTTCAACTTAGAACACAACATGTGCCCCTCAGTCAACATGTCAACCGAATTGGGACAAAAGCAGTCTGCTGCCTGCCCACTATGTGACTACCCGTCAGAGACAGTGGAACATCATCTGTAGAAAACTAACTGATTTTAAGGGGATGTTTTCTTCCCAAGCTACCCAACACTTCTAACTGCCTCTACTCCTCAGCCTCAAGACAACAATTAGAACAGACATGCAGCTATTACAGAATGGCATCATGCAGAAGAGTTAACGCTCAGATGCTATTGGATCGCTAACAACAACAAACAGCAACTTTTGTCCATTATTTTAATGTACCGAAAATGTGAATATTGTTCACCTGAAGGGAGTAAAGTCAACATGGAAATGTTTGTCAGTTTTTTGGTATTGTAGTTGGGCATGAATAAGTCGGATATATCGTCCAGCACTTTTTAAGGACCCCTGGGCAGGTGTTGAGTTCTTGCATTCTGTCGGCATTGCTGACCACTTATGACGCCACAGCGCCAGGAGAGAAAGAGAGGAGAGAAAGAAAGAAAAAGAGAGAGAGAGAGATAGAGAGAGAGAGAGAGATATTGACGAATGTGTTCAACACATCCATAATTTGGATTGACCATTAAACAAAAAACTAAAGAGATGTCAGTCCAGGAATAGCAAATTGTATGAGCTCCCCATGATTTCGAGTTTTCCATGTTCGTGTCATGTATGCCCGACTACGGATTTTGTATTGCATCAAGAATCACTGTTATCAGTTTTTTATTGGGGGGAAGGGGGGGCAAATATGTCACCGCCCGACTACTGATATTTTGTATTACATCAAGAATCACTATCAGTTTTTTATGGGGGGTGGGGGGGGGGGGGCCGCAAGTGTGTCACTGCGCTCGCAACTGCATAAGATCATTTGAGCACGCGGGACACTAAACATTTCAGTTTGGTAGGACATTTTGAATTTTGCTTGAGTGGCGGCCGGAGCCTGCTCTACTCTTATAATCGATTTTGTATCACCAAGGAATCTTTTGTGTTTGCAACTTGCACACAGGACCTCCGCGAGATTTTTCGCACTTATCCAAGAAGACTAGGTGTTAGATCTTATATCTACCACAAGATCAAGGGTGTGGCTGAAAGACTGCAGAAAGTGAGGGGCCCAGAACAGAAAGTGGAGACGAAAGCAAACAGAACATTGTTAGAGAGCAGGAAAGGAGGTGAAAGTGAAAGGAGACAATTTTAGCGGGTGGTTGGCGGGTGCTCAGGTGTGGTTTGCTTCTTCTGCCCTATCAAACATCCATCGTCCTTATCTCCCCTCCTCTTTTATGTTCACTATTCTCTTGTAACACCTCTAAATCTTCTGGCGCTGATACGACCTTATGCAGTTGCGAGAAGAAAATTTCCCATCGCTATTCGGATTCGAATCCGGGACCTACTTATTGAACGAGAGGCGCGCATCGTAACATCTAGACCACGAGAGCCCCCAAATGACAGTCAAGCTGGTTTGTATTATAATAATCTTCATACAGGGATGGAAACTGACCAGTCCAAAATTTACTGAAAGTTAGAGAGAGAGTGAGAAAAGTATTAGGTGTGTGCCGCGCGCTCATATGACCTTATGCAGTTGCGAGCGCCGTAAAACACTATACTAAACAAACAAACAAGAGAGTGAGAGAAAGACCAGGACAGGACCAGAGAAAATGAGAGAGAGAGAGAGAGAGAGAGAGAGAGAGGAGGGTTGATAAAGAGAGACGGGGGGAGAATGGGAGATGGAGAAAGATAATGAGACAGCAACAGAGAGAGAAAGAAAGAGTGAGAGTGAGAAAGAAGCACTTTTTGAGAAGAGAAAGGAGACAGGACAACAGGCCTCACTTACGGAAAATGACGGAGCAAATGAAAATGACAGATTTTTGTAAATTTACAGAAAATTCCCATCCCTGTTCATTGTAAAATGAACTGGGGTTGTCCGTGCTGGTGTCTTCATTGATTTTTTTAATACAAAAGCTGAGGACCATGCAGACTTATTTTTCCTTCATTGCTGGAGATTTTCCTCACCACACTCACATGCTGACAGTTCAGTGAAGGGTGTGGCTGAAGGCATAATATGATGCCAACTTACCCATTGAGTTTTGTGATGGAGACATTGGGTCAGGAATTAGATGGATCTCAAGTGCGAGTAACTTAGCTTCAATTTTCAATATCTTGGTATTGGGGGCACTTCTGATACATGATTTGTGTCACGACATGGAATCAAGCGCTCGCTTGTCTATTATGGGGCACATGGAGTTATTTATATCGGTTTCAAGTTTCTTCATTTATACTGCTTTAGAAGAAAAAAAAATACCCATCTATCTTGAAATTGAATAGATGTCGAGATGTTTGTGATTGAATGAGGTGGGGGTCGCCTAGTTTTAGAGGAAAAGTTAGTGAGAAAATGGCCACCAACATAGCTTGAGTGTCCTTGGAAACTGCAAATTAACATTTTTTGTGTGCCTTTGATCAGTGACATCCACACAGAATGTATTTTTCAAAGGTCATAAACGGTGCCAAATATAAAAGAAAATTTGAAAAAAAAAAAGTCTGAGGAGTACCTGATTTCACCACGATGCCTCACATTTTTTACAGAGACAAAAAAAAAATCTTTATGCGATCTTACTTATTTGGATAGAATTTTCCTTTGAAAATTAGGTAAATTTAAACCGTTATTATTTTAAAATCTTACTGCGATGTAAGCTCCATACTCTGCTTTAAGTTTAATATTCTGAACAAGATTTTGAAAAGATTTATAATATTAATTTAATTAATACTTTCTCAAAAGCGATTAAGAACTTTACCAAGCACTTGGAGAAGAGCTTGAGCTGTGTACAATGCTGTCTGTTAAGTTGTGAAGCTGTAAGGCCATCAGTCTTTCACACCAAAAACTTTAGAAACCGCTGAAGCTGAGCATTAACAATCACACATGAAGGAAAGAACACTCAAACAGTTTTTCCCTTTATTATCAATACCCAAAACAATAAATCAAAATATTTTAAAAATAAGTTATCTTACCAATGAAAGGTAAGCACACAAAAAACTGAAAGATTACGAGGATAACAGCAGCAACATAAAAAAGAAAGAAATGAATGAACACTTGCTAATTTAATTTGAAATCATTCGAACAAGGACAATAACTGGATAAAACATCAACACTTATCAACTGATACTTCAAAGTACAACAACTTCAAATATTTAAACACATTTGCAAACCCATTCTCCAAACGAACAATCTTGTAAAGCACTATGGCAAGAAAAAAATACATTCGCAAACATATTGAGATTGGTCCTTCCAGTAAAGCAAACCTTTTGATGACTCTTACTCATTTTCTTTTGATTATACATGTCTTTCAAAAACATTGTAATCACAAAGAATGCTCAAGCATTCATCTGAAAAAACATCTCAGTCTCACAGATTAAAACAACATTCATGCTGGTATAATTATAAAGATCTGCCTTAATTCAAAAGGGCCAAAAGAGTTGTGGGAAATCTGGATTTTAGGATCTGTGTCAGAGTGACGAAAAAGTAGAGTAGATAACTGCTTAATTGTAGCAGAGAACATGGCAACATAAGATTGAATGAATCTAAAAGAAGATAGATGAAAACCTGAGCAATAAAAACATCTACATTTGAGATACGGTACCAAGTACAGCCACCAAAGAAAACAAAACTTCACACACAACAATTAAGCAATTAAGAGTGACACGCCTTCACTTTTGGTCAATCAGTCAATCCTAATGTAATTTTGTGTAAGCAGTCGATAGTCAATAAGCACTGTCCAGAAACACAAACTGTTGTAGGCCCATGATGATGCACAAATCATAAAAAGAACTTTCTTCTGATTGTCAAAAATAATATTCTGATTTGACAGTGACACTGTATGGTTTGGTTTTTACAGCCAACAGATTCTCTAGGACATTCCTCTTTGTATAATCCATGTTGAGTATTCCCATCATGTTAATGCAATGAACATTAAAAATGTTTTTCTTCAAAGAACAACCCCCCCCCCCCTTCCAGAAATTGGTAGTTGATTTAATGCTTCCCACTTTGGATACTGCGGTATACTTACATATCACAACTTTCAACACTGAGCACAAAGGTCATGCTGATACAATGACACGACACATAACACATCATTCACATATATCTGTCTACAACTATCACATAGTGCGTTTCCACATCCTTGGATACATTTTTTTCAACAATGAAGGAAAAATTGTGACACTGTTTTGAATCGCTCCTCCTCCTTTCGGTCTTATACCCCATCATGTCATAAAATTAAAACAATTGATAATCAGTTAGACAAACATAAACTTACAATTACAAAAGCAAAAAACAGAACTTCAGTTTCACCGGCAACTAGCCAACCTTGCATCTTGTGACTTTTCACTTTACGATGGAGACTTCATTACAGATGTTTGCGTACATAATGCAGTAAAGTTAGATGTTGTAGCACTCAACGTAAGGTACTTGTAAAGACGATGAAACAATCTTGCTTGTACACACGACTACTTGAATAAAAAGCTGAGGAAAACAAACAAAATATGTTAAAAAGTTAAAGCGTTTACATTATCTTCAATTGTACAACATTCACACAACTGATAAAAATCATAAAGAGAGACATGAGTCATCTGATATTCATGTAAAACTACATGGGAATGCCTATAAAGATCCCACTGACCACATGAGGATGGCAGTTTCCTTATAAAAAGATACTGCTCGACTACTGGAAATACTGATGATAAGTCAAAATAGTTTGAAAAAACTTAAAAAACCCTGCTTGCTACCACCTTCTTTTGAGATATCCCAAAATACTCAATCACAGGGCGCAAATCATGAATCAAATCAGCTGAGTCACCATGAGATAAGAGTTTAGACCAAACCAGAATTCACACTTGCAGAACTCATCTTTCTATTTACACTTAACAAACAACTATTCCATACAAAAGTGATATCCTGTCACAAGTGTATAAAAACAGTATTGGCTACGGTATTTCTTCAGAAATCAGGACAACCCAGAGTTCACACATTGAATAAATGATGTATTCAAAAGTAAAAGTGAAATGAAGAGTGAATTGTTACATTGTACCATATGGTATTTGCTCAGCAGGGTTGAAATTGGAAAAGATTGAAACAACACCTGTTTTTTTTGTTTTTTTTTAAAGAGGGTCTTTATACAATGTGTAAATTTTATGTTTTTTATGAAATCTGCAGAACCAGGAAGCTTTTTTGAAAGGAACAGAATTAAGAAACGTTCAAAAGGCTTATTTCAAACTTGCTCACAGCTGGCCAATCGAGACTTCACACACATTAATAGTTAAATTTGAATTAAAGCATAAAATGGTGAAATCGTGTAGGTTTAACATCCCTATCAACATCGTTAGTTATTTAAGAGGTGGGACCTCCGAGTTTAACGTCCATCTCCTAAAGGACTGAGGTAAGTGGGGAATTTGTGTAAAGTGCCTTTCCCAAGGACACAACTGAGGCTCGAACCCCCCAAACCTGCAATCTCACGATATCGAGTCCCGTAGTCTAACCATCAAGCCACAGACGACACTAATTAAAGCATCAAAAGACACAAGTAGAGTGAAAGAGATTAAGCTTTATTAGGCAAAATAAACAGTTCTCAAGTCCCTTCTAACATGGTCAATTTGTTATGTCTGGCAATGTTTCCTGACCTGCACTTCATGTATGCAGCATTCAAAAGTCTTTAAATTTCTGATTAACCTTCACCTCTGAAGATAAGAAACCTTTAGAAAGAAAAAGAATGCTGTTTATCATAACTATAAGTCTCTTTGCCATACCTGTAGGGATATCCTTGGTACTTGGACCTGAACACCGACAGCAGCAGACTGAAAAAGATGGTGACACAGCCAAGGCCCACTAGGGACAGAACTGAGGAATAAGCAATTAATATTGTTAAAAAACTTAGCAATGAAATACTCATACTTTAGTTGGGCGAGACTGAACCAGTTTTGCTGAGGTGGCATCATTTTGTTGCAGTGAGTTCAGACCTGCCACTCTATGAAACCTCAAAATCAGGATCTCAGGGAGAAAAAATCGGGATTTGATGAAAAAAATCGGGACCAAAAGCAAATCACCAAGGTGACTGTCAAAGCTGACTTAAAATTTTTCCAGGGGTGTCCATAGATAACTGGGTCTAAATGCCGTCTGTGTGTCTTTGTTTGGGTGTGTGTGTGTGTGTGTGCGTGCAAGTTATCATTATTTTTTGTAAATCCTATTCCATCACGTCAAGCACTCCTAGTCCAAGTGTCTATACACCCCCCCCCCCCTCACCCCCACCAATAAGTCCCGAAATACATGAACTTAAGTTGACCCCGTCAACGGACGGTCTCCGACACGCAGAATTCACACGGCGATGTCTGGTCACGTTATGCCAATGCGCAATTGAAACAATTTTATGAACGAGTTCGACTAACTGCGCGTTCACACAAAACACTCGGATGAGCGACAGTCGTTCTACTTCTAGGATAACGACGGCGGCCGACCGACCAAATGTACCAACTAATCTCTTATTACTCATCTTGAGTTCAGACTAAAGCTACAACAACAGCCGTATGTTAGTCTTGTCAGCGCAGTTACATGTAGTTGTGTAAGGGTTAGAAAGAATGTCCCTCGTCCGAGTGTTTGGTGTGAACGCGTAGTTACCAGACCTCGGACAAGGCTTGTTTTGAAAGTAAAAGCAGAACTACGAATATTATCGATTATTTGTATGTCCCAAATTGTAACAGTTACCAGGCTATCATCTGAGAATTCTGAGTGCGGGCAAAGATCACACACAACGGGGGGGGGGGGGGGGGGGGGGGAGTCAACTACTAAATGCGGCATCGATATTTCAGGAAATAGTGCTCAGAGCTCCTACAGACAAAAAGTTCAACGGGTGCTTCCCGCTAAAAAGGAGAAGGCAGAGTAAGTTTTTAGAAAAATCCGGCACAACAGCAGACTGGGATAAAAAAATCAGGATACACGCGATCGAAATCGGGATGCTTGAGATTTGAGGCAAAAAATCGGGATATCCCGACTAAATCGGGATGAGTGGCAAGTCTGTGAGTTGTATTTCAAGAATGATGTTAATCTGAACACAAAAAAACTAAATATTTTTCTTTCATGTCACTGATGGCATTAGGCTGAGAGTTCCAAAATATCAGCGGAGAGAAAAGTCATCTTTATTTTTCCAGGCATAATACAGTGGAAGTCGCATTCAATGAGGTTGCCGGGATCGGCTTGTCGTCCTCGTTATATCCGACCTCTCGTTGAATGTGACTTAGGCTAAAGAAAAGAAAGGAGACAAGTTATTATATTACACGATGTACCAATATCAGTAATTAAAACAGTTGTACCCCCTGATGCCGAAAATCTCAAGCCGCATCAGAGTGCGCGTGTTTTAGCTGTGTTCTGACCGTCATTTATGTATTATTATTTTTTTCTAAAATTCTGAACACGTCTCTTGCCGAAACATACCCTCTCACATCAAGGCCTAGATACCTACATAAAGTAAAGGCGGGAGCTTGGATTTTCTGATGAGGGCCACTTGGCTTTGGGGCCCATATTAGGATTAGGAGGCACACTAGATCTAGCAATACAATGTGTTAGGAATGGAGGATGGGCCTTGTGCTTCGCGTGTGATGGAGAGAAAGGAGAAAAATTCTTCGCTTTCGGGGCTGCTTATAGCCTTTATTTGGTTATCGCGACCTCATTGAAAGCGATCGGTCTGTGTGCAACCTCGTTGGAGCTAATGTACATTTACAAAGAGATATAGAGGAAAAAACAGGGGATTAAGGATTGCCTCATTGGAGCCGATTTCTCGTTGAATGCGACACCCACTGTAAAAGCATTTAATTTCACTTTTACAATACATAATGCAATATTCCTTCCTCAAGGAGAAGACCACCACATTCGGGTGCCTTTCAACCACCAACGGCAACAAAAATAACAGCAATAACTTACTCCTTTTCTTGCTTGGATCCCCCTTCATGCTCTGAGCCTCATTCAGCATGATGAAGCCTACCACCACAGCCGTGTCTAGGTGGAGACTCGGTTAAGGACAAACTCTTTGAGAGCTAGATTTTGAATATACATGATTTAAGTGTAGCATTGTGCAGTCCCCGTCGTTTTATGGAAGAAAAATTCTGAAATTATGCAAACTGAGCCCAAAAATGTGAAATTATGCGGATTTTAACAAAGAATTTAATAAAGGAAAATAATCAGAAATTAGGCAAAAAATGATCAGATTTTGAATTATGCGGGGTGCATAAAACCACGGGGGCAGAAAAATCAGGTGCTTGTCAGAATAATGAAATCGAAGAAATCCATTTTTCCACCCGTAGGGCAATTTTTTATCAAATTTTAAAATTGGGCACAATGCCTCTTATATTCATCAAACAATACATTTCTGTGTGAATTTTACTGAAAATCATTGACCAAGGCACACAAAATGTACACTTCCAATTTTCAAGGATACCACAACTGTGGGAGTTACCAAACTCTCGTGGCCATTTTCTTTATAATTTTACCTCTGACACCACACAACACCCAGCTTCTTTCATTGCAAATATCTCAACTTCTATTCATGATAGACAGCTTGCTTTTTTTCTATCAAAAGCAAGGCAAATAAGACTACCCCAATAACTCCATATGTCCAAAATTTGACGGGCACCTGATTCTACCATGCCGCGTCACATATACAGTTGGGCACAAATAACACGAATACGGATAACTCAAAATCATGGATATATAGCTCTTACAATTTGCCATTTCCTGATACCTTAAATTTTTGCTGTCAGTTAACCTGAATTAAGGATCTGTCCAACACATATGTCAATCTCCGATGTGTTTGAGTTATCTGTGTCCGACTGTACGTCTATTTTGACACACTGAAACAATTGGTTGTTCCTGGCTGTAATCTAGCTGTAATCCTATTCGCTTCACATTCTTTTCCCTCCCGAACATCATGATTGTAGGCAGTGACAACTGTATAACAGGATAGGCTCTACCCCAGACGATTCGTGCCTGAGATATGGTGTCAGTCCTGATGACATATGGTACTGGTACGCATTATTTGAGTGCCCGCATGGCGACCTGTATCAAAGAACCCTCTGGAGGAGGCCAGCAACAGAATTTTAAAAAATTTTCTTTGATAAGTGTTTTACAGCACTTGCAACTGCATAAGGTCATATGAGCACGCGGGACACATTGAACTTTTTAGGTTGGTAGGAAATTTTGAATTTTGTCCAGGTGGTGGCCGAAGCCTACTCTTATCGATTTTAGACCACCAAGGGATCTTCAACGTGCGCAACTTGCACATGCGCCCTCCGAGATTTTTCGCCCTTGTCCGAGAAGGTTAGGTGTAGATTTTTCCTACCAGAAGATCAGGGGTGTGGCAGAAAGACAGCAGTAAGAAGGAGCAATGGAGTAGCAATAGAAAGGCTGCAGAAAGAGTCAGGAGCCCAGAGGAGGGGGGGGGGGGGGGTAGAAAGAGGAGACGAAAGCAGACGACAGAACATTGCTGAAGAGCAGGAAATGAGGTGAAAGGAGACAATTTTAGAGAAGAAAACTTTTCGGTCGCAACCCGGATTCGAACCCGCGACCTTTGAATGAAAGGCCAACACCTTAACCTCTAGGCCACGAGAGCCCCCCCCAGCCACAGAGGAAAAAAAAACACAATTGTATAAATAATGTTGCTACTTCTAAGGAGCACAGAGGTCAAGGATACTCAGCAACATCACGATGTAGGTCTCCATGATGAACTGGCCTTGGCTGCTCCCATGAATGTAGTGCTGGAGGAAAAAAAAAAGGAAATGTGTTTTACAACAATCTAGATTTTCCCTCCATTCAAAAGCTCAAATCAAATTCAAAGAATTCACAACCGTACCCAGGAGAAAAAGGTAATTAGAAATTGAGTCCTGTTCTTGGGTCTGCTGGGGGTAATGATAGATGTAAAGCTCATACATAGAGTAGAGCATGTTGTAAAGCATGGATACGCACTATATAAATGCAGTTATTACAACTATTATTGCTATAACACACTGATCAAGGTTCAGTTTCAACCCTGAGGAAGTAGTAATGTTGCCTACCATCTGGCCGGTGTTTGGGTTCCTGTGCATCACAGGTGGTCCTCGGATGTGGTTCCACATCTGTCCGGAGGTCATGGCAAATATCACAGCCTGTCATAAAGGGGGAAAAACTATTATTCAAATTTTTTTTTTCCAATAAATAAAGAGGAATAATAGCACAATATCATCATCGCAGGGAAAAAGAAAGACGAAAGACTGACAGAACTGACGATTTACAATAAAGAAAAAAAACAACTGAACTTACCTGCCCTGTCCTTTGAGGTATACATTGGGTGAAACAGTGTAAAACATCTACTACTTTTTTACTTTAAAAAAACCTCAACACAATCCTGGAAGAAACTTGACAAGGTTCAGAGAGGGAAAATCCTCTCATTGGGGTAAATTACAGTACCTGACACAATTCTGGCATTAGATACATTTGAACATATAGTAAGAGAGAATTGTCAGCCAGCTGTACTTGGCCCAAAATGTTGAGAAAAACATTTTTTTATTGCAGTATCTTAATCTGTGGTATCAGTTACATGTGCTCAAGAAATATTATGTCAAAATTCAAATTCTAAAAGTTGAAAAAAAAAAAAAGAAAGTAAAAAGGCATGATGTACTCATAACTGTTAAAAGAATAAATCAGTTTTTAACTCTCCAGTGAAATTTTGCTTTCTGGGCCCAATACATAATATCAACAGCTTACTTGCAAAATAGAAATCCAAATAAAAAGCATTTGTTTTAGTAAAACAAACAATGAAAGCTATGAAATAACTCACAAGAGCTATAATTCCCCAGGAGGTTTTGTTATACAAGAATTCCAGGTTGTTCCTCTTGAAGTACAGCAGGCCACCAATCGTAGCAAAGAGTAGGGCCAGAGCCACTGTGCCAGAGTAGTTTGGTGGGCGGAACACTCGAATCTAAAAAAAACAACAAAAAACGTGGTGGACATCAGTCATCTAGAAATTTATGAGCTTTTGCCCTTTGATCATTAGCCAAGAACAAAAATAAAACTACAATAGTCATGTAGGTAAATCAAGTAAGCATTTTGTTATCGGTCAGATGATGTGGAAAAGGGACCACACACTAGGCATCATGGGGAAATCAGGCGCTCATCAAAATAATGATATAGAAGAAAACAGCATTTTCCTGTCAGTTTAACCACTTTTATTGAATTTATATGTTTTGGCTCAGCATCTTTTATATCCATTTAAAAACACATTTCTATATGGATTTAACTGAAAAACATTAATAAGGAAGAGTGCGCTAAAGGGCTTCCATATACTCAAGATTAAGAAAGGCACTTGACAAAAAAGTGAAAATATGGATATTGATTGAGTAGCGAAAAAAAACAAACAACAACTAATTTTTCAGCTGCACCTTCCCCAATTTCCATTTAAACAGAACATAACTGAATATCACTTGGCAACACAACCAAGTATAACAGTAAATCAATAACAGAAAGTTTCACACAGAGCTTTCTTCAATAAAACCTTACCTGGACATCAGTCCTTTCTCCAACCCATTTAGCTAATTGTTCAGCAGCAAAACCAACTCTGTAAAATGAAAATCAGAAAAAAAGTTTAGGTTATAAACAGAATTTCATAGCAAAACTCTCAAAGCTGACAGAAATGAGCATCGCATCTTTTCTTCGGCGGCTGGAAACAGCCAGGACACTGCAACATTTCTGAGGACATCTTAAAAAAAAGACTAGGTGGAGAGCTATGATCACCAGTGTCTGTACTTGAGCAAAAGAGAGAGAGAGAGAGAGAGAGATTGCTTTCAAAACAAGAGACAAAAACAGCACAACCCTCTTTGAGCTATTATTCAAATTGTTTTCTCATGGTTAAAAAATAAACCTTTACACTACTCCCAGCTCAATAGTTTTCTAAACAATGCATAGTTCTCTTTTTATACATAATATCAATGGCTATTCATGTCTTTAGGCAGTTGCGATAGCCATAAAACTCATACTAAACTAAATAATATTCATGTCTTTCCCCTTAGGCAGGTGTTTAGTATGAACTTACCTGTGAATATCTAGTGTGTCTCCCTTCTTTGGTTTTCCCTTAGAAGGGAAATGCATGAACACTGGGGCAGTGTTCAGCTTCATCTGAAAATCAAAGAAAAAGGTTATTCGATTTCATAGCCTTGTTGCCATTCCATGAAGTTCTAGCTACTGTTGAATAGCACGAATAAAAATGAAGAATTTGAATTTTGAAAATGAGAAAGTGACAAGTGACTTCATAAAGAAATGTCTGGATTCTGTCACTGCAACAGGTACAGTGTCAATTTCATTTGCAGTTTTAATGAGAAAGGAATACTGGAACAGTATTATTGGAAGCTTTTGAAATGTCTACAAGTAAGGCAATAGACTTCTTAGCAATTTGTAAGAAATATTTTTGTGACATTCTTGTGTCTCGACATTAAGGAAATGAATGAAGAGATATGCCTGCAATTGTAGATCAACAGTTGTTGGGCCTGAGTCTTTCAACTCACTTTTAAACTGCAGAGGATAGCTTTCTGCTTTAGCTGTACTTCACAGGCATTTTTAAAGAAGCTATCAAAGGAATGCTGAAGTCATTATAGAGAAGGCCATTGAAACAAAGGTGTTACATAGTTCCTAACAGGGGACCGAAGAAAGAACGTTTATGGACTTTAAGCAATGATTCCGTTCAAAGGGTAGTTTAGATGGACATGGGGTTCCCTCGAGGAACCGTTCTTGTCATTTAAAGTTTAAGTGCTTGTTCGTCATCCTTTCATCTGATGTAATTTATAATAATAATAATAAAAACAAAACTAGATTAAACAATCTCTGAGGTCAGGCAATTTGAGCACTGGTGTGATAACTTACAACTTTTAAGTACTGTAGGTTCAAAAATACTATAAAAGATCAATCAGAGTAACTAAAACCACAATACCACATTTGGACTCACACTTTGAAATATATCAGAACCCTCATCATAATCAACAAGCGTGAAGAAAAGCTTGTTGGAGTAGTGCTGTGAGTACCGCCACGAGTTGGCCAGAATCTGATACTCATCATTGGCTTGTCTGTAAATAAAAATAAAGTTATTATATCCACATTATTTGGGTTTTGTTTGCTTTTCTAGAGTTAGTTTGAATACCCTATAAGATGCATATATATAAAGTCATTTTGAAGGTGGGGCACTTGACAGGAGTAAAAGAGGTAGAAGAAAGGAAAGAGAGCAGAACAATGCATCCAAGTAAATATAATATCAATATTTACATGAGCACAGATGTTTGTCTTGACTTATTCTACAAGTGGAAAGGTTGCACCTCCTGCTGACGTGCAACACGCCAATTTGTACTATAAACTTCACATGTGTCATGTCATTAGCTCAAGAATTTACATCTCTAAGGAAATTTGTTGATTCCAGAAAGGAGTGCCAACAATCTCAGGACACTTTTGCCAATAGTTGAAGAGAAGTGCTGGTTGAACTAGGAACATTAGTTCATGCTCAAAGACACACAATAGTGGCTGAAAATTTAACACAATAACAAAACAAAAGAAAGACAAATGAAAAGTCAATAAACTTTAAAAAAAAACAAATGATGTCATACTTGAAGAATACTGAATTCCTTTGTTTAAAGGACTAGATATTTATGTGAATGGATGTTATAACCCCTTAAACAAACTTATCAGTTAGTCTACTCAAATAGACAAGCAATAAATGGTAAAAAATTGCCACTTATAATTTATATTTAGACCCCTGTTTTCCTTTCTATAAGTTATAACTTATAAGTATTATTTTTAATTCCCCACTATACATCTTGCTTTGTGCTATTCTTCAGCAAAAAGGAAAATCAAGCAGAAATGTAGAGCCATTGGTCACTCACCACATTCAATGAGAAAAATAAATATATAAGTGAAATCTGTCCATGACAACAACCCGTTGTAGAGGAAAAATCAGGTATCTTTGACTGGTGGTCCTCTTCGACAGTTTCATAAACAGTCATTACACAGAGGAAAAAAAACCATGGGGGGGGGGGTTGCCCAATTGTACAGGTGATTGTCTTGGACAGGTAGCCATTAAATCAGGTTCGACCATACCTAAACGTGCCTGGTACTTAAAAAATAACAGTAATACCAACGCTTCATACAAGTATTCCAAAAGTAACATTCCATTTAAAAATGCTGTAGTAACACTTTGTATTTAACTGGCTGCAAACTCACAACAGTAACAACAGACAGTCAAAGTTAACACAAACCTGCAAACAGAGCAGCCTCTTTGGGGTTGAAGGGCTGTCAGCATAACCACCACAGAATAGTTACGAGGGGCTGTCCGTACATACTGCTTGAACTTGTCCCCATTGAGCCGAATTATAGACTTTTTGTTGTTCCATTCCATCAACTGGTGAACTTTGTCACCAAGAGACTCCTAAAAGATTTCACACAAATAATCAATGCTGTAAAATTACCTTCTGAAAAAATCATAACAATGAGTTTAGAATCTCATATTCATTGTTGTCGTAATTTAAAGGAGGTGTCCTCGAAAAGGCTTGGTCAAAGGTGCATACTAAACTAATTAGACTTTAAACACTCAAAGGTAACTCAAAATTTTGAAAAAGTGCAAAGCTCTTACAGAAAAGATTACACAGGTCATTTCGATACACTTCCACATGGTCCACGGGGTTAAAATATATAGGCAACCTATGTCACCAGGTAAGTCACAACACACTGTTTTTTTCATTGAGAGTTCTGACACTCAACTTTGCAGAGGAATATTTTTTTGGGAAAGTGAGTGTTAAGCATTAAAGTAAAGTGGCCTACCCATCTGACTTTCAATCGAATTTTTCTGAGCAGGGTGTAACTGCTGGGCATTATATCAGCAAGAGTGTTTTCACCATGAATACCGCAGGAGTGTGTTAATCGATGATGAAAATAACGCTCTCTCTTTGATAGCTTTCTATATTTATAAAGTATTACGAACACATGAATAAACCCCCTCTCATAAGCTGATAAGACGATTAGTTACTCCCAGGGTTGGGCTGATTTAAATCAGTTGATTTTTAAAATTTAAATCAACTTGATTTAAAAAAAAAAAATCAGTGATTTAAATCACTTTAAAAAAAATCTATTTTTATTCAGTTTTTACACATTTCAACATTCAGAATTCCTTTCCTTGGTTTCATAAAACAGATATAAGGTTTAGTAGACTAATATAATCATGCTTAAAAGTCTGCTTCCCCCCCCCCCCTGTCACTGTAAAATAATGGAAGTGGCTATTCTCACCCGGGGTGAGAATAGAAATACAATCGACCTCTCACCCCGGGTGAGACTTGCCACCGCAGGCTATCCTCATCCGGTGTGAAACAAGACCTGTTTTTCCTAATTTCGGAATACTTTTTATCGATGTGGATGATCAAATGGATAAAAGCAAAGAAAAGATTACGTTATAGCACAAAAGTAAGCTAATTTGATCGTCTACAAAGATGCTATGGCTATTTCACTTTTCGAATCGAGCCGAACGCGGGGGTCGCCATTTTGTTTTGCCCGGAAGTTCTCGCAAGATCTACTCCTCCCCTCTTCTCTCTCTCTTCTCTCTTTCTGAATACTGTCTATCGGTGTGGACGATCAAATTGACCAAAAGAAAGTAAAAAAATGATGTTAAAACACAAAAGTAAATTAATTTGGTCGTCTACAAAGATGCTACAGCTATTTAACTTTTCGAATCGAGCCGAACTACGCGGGTCGCCATTTTGTTTTGCCCGGAAGTTCTCGCGCTACTCCTCTCCCTCCACTGCCCACAGACAAAATTGTACGCTTTTTTAGTAGGCTAACAGTAGTAATGGAACGTTTGTTCACGGCACAGAATTCTACAATTTTTCTGTTATCACAGTGTAGAATTCTGTGGTTTAGGGTGAACGCAAAATTGGTTAGCCTAGATCTAGGCTATAACAGTGAACGGACACCGGGTGAGAATAGCCAAAAGATTCGTCTTTAATACAGTACAGTATTCAATTTACTTTTTTTTCCATAATTGAAATCAGCGCTGGGTTGATTTAAATCAGTTGATTTTTAAAATTTTTAATCAACTTGATTTTAAAAATAAAATCAGTGATTTAAATCACTTTTCAAAAAAATGTATTCAGTTTTCACATATTTAAACATTCAGAATTCCTTTCCTTGGTTTTATTAAACAGATATAAGGTTTCTAAAAGTAGTTTAGAACATATATAATAGAATCATGCTTAAAAGTCTGCTTGTTCTCAATTTACTTTTTTTTCATAATTTGAAAACCAGGGTTGGGTTGATTTAAATCAGGTCGATTTAAATCAGTTGATTAAAAAAAAAAATTAAAATCAATAAAACTTAGTGATTTAAATCACTTAAAAAAAATGTATTCTGTTTTTACATCTTTAACTCATTCGCTACGTATTATTTTCGGCTTGTGGACGAATTTTTATCGGGAGGGCGAAATGAGATGATGACTAGTGCGCATTCACAGGTCTTGGGGGCCATAAATTCAAATAAATATCAACGTATTATATACCAACATTTTCAGTATGGTTTGTAGAATACATCTGTTTTGTTTATTTGAGTATTTTTCAACTTTGGTTCCTGTAAGAGGCGATTATGCAACACAATTGTGATTGGCTGCGGATAAAATTTGAAAACAAAAAAATTATAATCTTAGATGAAACTCAAAAAATATGTTTGCACCTAGTCAAATTATACATCAAAATAACCATAACTGTATATAGAACAGGAAAATATTGAAAAATGAGCAGTTATTTACATACATTCCATAATATTTGTACATTTGGATCATAACCTCCGATAGTGTAAAAAAAAATAATTTTTAAATAATTTTGAAAAAAGGATCCCAAACAGAAAAAACCCCACTTGTATCTTATATGGAATTATTCAGAATTGCATTTGGAACAAACCTATGCATGTCTTGGGTGGTACTTTTTGAGTAAATTCACCAAAAAGTAGTGATTTTGGGGAGAAAAAAATATTTTGACTATTTAGATCTAGGCCTAGATCAAGCACTCAAAAATATTGATTTCGCAATAACAGTGCACTGGCAATTTGAGTCCAGTAGTATCAATATTATAAAGAAGAGTCCTACACTTCTTTAGTGAGCAAAATAATGATACATTTGTTGTGTAAAAGTACTAAGACTGGTGTCTGGGCCATAATTTGGGCTTCGCGATAAAACAATGTCACATAAACTTCGAAATCGTGTTTCAAAACTGAATCAAAACTTCCGATTTTCGGTAGAAACGCTTGACCCGGAAGTCAACTTTATATTATGACCTTTATTTTAACATGGATACCGTCGGCAGAGAATTCTAACCGTCTAACTCGAAATTTTCTCGAATTGCTTTTTTCCTTAAAATAGATCGACATAATAATGGCTATGTCCTATTAAAATCTAGAACAATTTTGACAAACAAAAGTCTTGTTTAAAAGAGAAATTCTAACCGTATATTCCGACTGACTTCCGTGACTGAAGAATTCTAACCGTCTAATTCGTTTAGGTAGTCCGCCATTGTGGATCACGGCGATAACGTTTTGCTCTGAAGGAGGCGTTTAATTATAAATAAAATTCTTTTTTCCTGAAAATAGATCGACATGACGAATGGCTACGTCCTATTAAAATCTAGAACAATTTTGACAAACAAAATTATTGTTTTAAAGAGAAATTCTAACCGTATATTCCCACTGGCTTCGTGACTGAAGAATTCTAACCGTCTAATTCGTTTAGGTAGCCCGCCATTGTGGATCACGGCGATAACGTTTTGTTCTGAAGGAGGCGTTTGATTATAAATAAAATTATTTTTTCCTTAAAATAGATCGACATGATGAATGGCTACGTCCTATTAAAATTTAGAACAATTTTGACAAACAAAAGTCTTGTTTTAAAGAGAAATTCTAACCGTATATTCCGACTGGCTTCCGTGACTGAAGAATTCTAACCGTCTAATTCGTTTAGGTAGCCCGCCATTGTGGATCACGGCGATAACGTTTTGCTCTGAAGGAGGCGTTTGATTATAAATAAATGTAAAATCAGAAAAGGCTGCTTTTGTAAAGGGTTGGTTGACTGTGTCGAGCCTGTGGAGAAAAAGGAGAGAGAAAGCAGAAGATCGTGGTCCATGAAGTACCATCTGCGAGTGAATGGGGCCAGAGTAAAAGTGTGCACGGCTTTCTTCTTAAATCCTGTACTTTTTTACTAGTGTGTTCACATTGTTCTCACATGTGGGTTGGGTGTAGCACAGGGTGAGGTTCCAGTTCAGAGAAAAAGGGTTAGGGATGAGACTACAGCATCAAAGGTACTTAAACAGTTTCTTCGTGATCTGCCCAAGTTGCCACCTCACTATT